TTCTTGCTGTTCTACACCATGAACAGGTGTACTGCTTATTGGGAGACCTCCTGTTGTCTATAACTTGAGATACTTGCATCAAATTGTCTAGGAGACAGTCTTCCCATCTCCTGTCTAGAGAGTAACAGCTTCGCTTTCAGCCTTCTAGGAGTTCAGGAGGAGAAAAGGGCTCTCAGTATTATATCCCCATTCATGTGTCATGCTCACATCTTCAACCATGCCTGGCATCCCTCCCTTAGTTTAGATCCTGTTTCACCAAGATAGGGCTGAGGGTGGGGCTGTCATGTGGCCACATAGACTAGGGAGAGCATCTGGGAATCCAAGTGATTATCAGATAGCTTCTAGCAGCCCTCCTCATTTTACCACATTCCCTTTCACCTCCAGTTCCAAAAGGCCCTGGTATTGTCCATTCCTGTGGCTTTCAAGGCTCTGCAGTGTAAGCCGGTGGCTCTCAGCTTTCCTCACTGCTGATGCAGGAACTTGCTTTCTTGGGTCTCCTACATCAGTTATCATCAGCTTATTTAATTTCCACTTCCCCAAATGTTGCTATTGTCTTCTCCTGTTCTCTCCGTCCTACTGGATTCTATTCTGTTGATGTGGGCTTGTTTAATCCCTTCACTGTAGACTGTAGGAAGAAGTGAGGTTAGATGCATGTGTTCAGTCCACCATTTCGACCCAGAAGTCCTCCTAATACCTTTTACCTGCTTACTAAAGAACTTAATAAGTTATGTCCTGATTCTCTTTTATTCTTACATGGCAAATTTAGCAGAATTTTAAAATATAAAGTTGGCCCCCTGAGCTGTAAAATAGTATTCCCAACATTACTGAATTTCTCATGTTCTTGCTTCAAAATTCATTTTAAGAGCCTTTGGAAAAAAAAAGCATTGGTTTGTCTTTCTAGAGATTGAAAGTTCTTGGAAGCTATGTATGGTACTGAAATTTCTGCTGTCTGAATGTTAATGTTAACATGGGACTCAAGAAATTCTTGAGCACCTGCTGTGGACCTGACCTGATCCGTGGGTATTTAGTGGGGCTTCAGTGTTTACACACGGAGCACCTCCACTTGCCCCTCAACTCTGCCTCCAGGAAGTCCTGGCACAGAGCTCCCTGGTCACTGCCAGCTGGCCTGCCCAGGCCTGCAGGACCTGTGGGACGGGTCTCCTGCTCAGGTCCGCCCACGTGGCTCCTTCCACTCCCTTGCTGCTGAGAATAGAATTCTGGGGCTGGTGACCACATAGTCACAGAAACTTATGTGGAAATCTGTACTTTGGGTTGCTTTCCTCTGTTTTATTTGCGCAACTGTTAAAACAACCTTGACAATGACATTAAAACAAAGCTCCTTTCTGCTATGAGTGTGGTCAGATGATCATTAGCAGTGGATTGAAATGTAGTCTCATTCACTTATGTAACTTTTTCTGTCTAGGAAGAGAGGTCAGTGAATGCCAAGTGTCCCCATATTTTAGAGAAAGGAGTGGGATTCACCACAGCAGCAGCAAAAAGAGAGAAGGCCCAACTGTTTCCGCAAACTTTCTAAGCCAGCACCCCCAGCCCACGGAGAATGAGGAGGGGCTGGGAAGGGCTGCCAGCCTAGTGGGCTGCGTGTGCTGTGGTGTCTCTACCCGCTTCCCTCTTCAGGCTGGTGGGGTGGGGTGCTGGGCACTGACAGGACCACCCTTAGCAGTGGGGTGCTTCCCATAAAGGAAACTGCCAGCTCAACCTTGAGTTGGATGGCTGCGGAATCGCAGAGATTCATCTGTGTGCTAGTGATGAACTTAGAAAAGCTCTCAGGTGGATCAGATTGGGCCAAGTGTGCCCCTGAAGGAGTGGGGCAGTGGCATAGGAGCTGCGGTATGGGGAGGGTTGGCCTGACAGGGCCTTGCCTACCCAGGGACCTGTGCGACATCAGCGGTAGTGTTGGAGGTGTGGGCAGGTCTCCAACACCTATCCCCAAGTCCCCCAGTGGATGCCCAGAGACACGGAGTCAACATTTAGACATCTGCTTGGATAGAGGGCATTTGACAGCCGAGTGAGACTAGCAAGCTTAGTGAAAATACATTCTTCTGCTTTACTCTCCCTCCGTCTCTCTGCCCCAAGCCTGGAAGAGCCACAGGCAGCAGGTAGCAAGCCGGGACAGGACAGGATGGAATGGGACAGGGCGGAATACAGGGAACAGACCTTCTCAGGCTTATCTGTGGAGGAGGGAAAAATCTTTGAACTGGAAATTAAATTGAAGTTTTGACTTAAACCAGACCATATTCCTTATGAGGACCTAAAATGAGGACTGTTGGTCAATACCTGGAAGCTACTGAGAAGGTAGGGGATCCACTAGAAATTTCAGGAAGGTGAGAGCCAGCAGAGGAGCTTTGCATGGCATTGGAGGAAGGAAAACACAGCTAGTTCTGGACGGCAGCGGTCCTGCTCAGGAAGTGGATTATATTTATGGTAAGAAAGTGAAAGTGCCAGGAAACCCTTTAAGTCCCTGCTATTTACTCTTCAAAATTCAGCTCAGGTGTTCCTCCTCTGAGGAGCCTTCCTGGACAAGGACTGCTTGGCCTCCTTGCCTGCCTCTCATGGCATCTGTTCACTCTGCAGGGTAGGCATTTATCCAGACCCCAGGGGCCTCCAGGGAGGGCTGGGCCTCCTCCAGCCCTGAGCACAGAACCCTGCCCATGTGGACTGCTCCATAATGTCTGTTGGGTCCATGAATGAAAAGAAGCGAGCATGGCAGACCTGGGTACAGGAACATACAAAGATAAGTTCTGAAATGGCAATGACTATTGTCTCCATCATTTAGTCTGAAGGAAACATTTACAACTGAATTTGAAAAAGAATATTTTGTTGAGTAAGATCTCAGATTGCAAGCCCACTTCTCCTATACTTGTTTCTAAAGCAGTGTTACTGAAGCCATCAAAATAACCTTAATGGAAGAAGAAGGGACCCATCGAAGGCCACTGGTTAGAAGAGTATTTCTTTGAATGATTTTTCATATGTGAAGTGCAGGGGTTGACATTGCCTGTTATTCACTATAAGTCAAAGTCAGGACACTGGGGGCAAAATGATACATCAGGAAATGGAGACTTCACCAAAATTGCCAATGTGAAGATTAGGAAAATGGAGGGCTTCAAATCCACTCCAAAATTCTGTTTATTAAGTCTCCTTGTGTGTACGTATGTAGTCTCAAAGGTCCCATGAATTAAAGGGTAATAATTCTCCGTCTTGGCTTTTTGGACCTCTTTTCCTGTGTGCTGAGTCACTTCATATCTTTCCAAGAGACCCAAGTTCTGAGCTAAAATAGAAATGTGTGTAGCGCTGTCTACTGAAGTATAACAACGCCTGCCCAAGTGCTCACCCATCTGAAGTTCTTCACACTTAAGATCTCAGTTGCTTCTCACTATAACCTCATGAGGTGTAGGAGGTTTGGTTAAAGATGTTATCATTACCTCAATTTCAATTTTACAGATAAACTGAAGCTTAGAGAGAGAAAGTGATTTGCTCAAGTCATAGCAAGTTGGTGGTGATGAGGCCAAACCATCTCAGGAATCCTGACTCCAGATTCCGTGCTGATTTCTGCAACATCCTGCTGCCTGTAAGGATGTCCAGAGGGCAACGGGTAGGAGTGCTGATAGAGCAGACTTGTAAATACAGTGTTTGTGTGTTGATAAAGTACATTTAAAAGAGATATGTAGAGAAAGATTTCAGCACAGGATGTTCACTGTAGTATTGTCTATATTAATGGTAAGTACTTGGGTGTGTGAGAGTGTATTTATGTATATATTCTGTTTCTTTACTCACATCATTTTCCTACACAGTTACATACGTATTTATTTGTGTGTGTGTATAAATTCTTTGACGACTTTTTAAAAAATAACCATTCTAGGCAGTCAGACTGTAACAAAGCAGAGCTTTCTGCTAACAGCCTGCCTGGAGAGCTTGCCTAGACCTGCAGCTGAAGGGGGCCTCTTCCTTCCCATGCCGAATCTACACACCTGCATGTTCAGGTGCTCTGTGAAGAACAACAAGGGAGAACAACTTCATACCCACTCTCCCCAACAAGTACACGAACACCAGTCACAGGTTTCTGTACACCAGGGGGTGGGGTGGGGCAGCTCAGCAGGAATGACCGCCGTACATTTGAGCCAGGCTGTGAAAGAGGAATTGCCTAGTGCCCACTTCTGAGTCCCAGTAACAGTGATCACTAGTAAAAAGTTTATCTAAATTAGGGTCCAACTCTGGGTAGTGGGATTAGCCGCGCTCCCTCTCCTGTGGAGGAATTGGGACGGAGCAAGAGTTCCATGGAAGCCCCCTCCTGTGTAGGTGGAGGCAGGAGCATAGAAGAGGACCATAGAAGCTCTTTCTTTCTTTCTACCTGCAGTAAAGCTCAGAAACAACCCAAATGTCCAGCAGTAGGGGAATGGCGAATTTACGGTACACTCATAAAACAGACTCTCATGTAATTACTTAATAAAATGTTTTCAAAGAATTTATATACACATACATATATATGGAAATGATAAATGTGAGTTTAAAAAAAGCAGAATATGTACATAAATACACACACACAAGTCCACTATATTATTCAAATAACATTTTGAGAAAGTTCCAGAAATATATTATCTGTGATCGCCTCTCTTGGTTTGGAGTACATGGGTCCATTTTGTTTTTCTTCTTTTTTTGTTCCTGGATTTTCTCCTGTAAGAAATAATGTAACTCTGCGGGGAAAAGATGTTCCCAGCCCTGGGCAAATAATCTTTGAAGCTGAAATCAGTCAAAGGGAGAAATAAAGTGAAAGAAACCCATTTCTTGCTTACAAGCAGTTGTCTGCTTCTGCTTGCCCACGTCTCTCACAACCTGGTTGCAAAAGGACCCCCACCGAACCTCTCTGGTCCAGATATGCATTTTCTCTCCGCCCTCTTTGTAATTACCTGTTGATACGGAGATGGACTACTTCTCTCCACCCCTTGGAAACAGCAAGGGGTTGATATGGAGATGCACTAAGGCCAGGTGAGAGATTCTGGAAATACTGCAATTTTACCCACAAATAGTATTGCTTTTGTTTGATTTTCTCCTCTCAGAGAAGCAGGGGGTGCTTCCTGAGAAGACAAGATTGGGTGGTCTGCCCACCTGGGCTCTGGAAGGCAATCTGAACAACAGAATACTGGGAAAATGTGACAGCAGAAAGCTCAAGAATCTGTTCAGGGCATCATCAGCTGGAAGGCTAGCAAGAGAGACCATCCAGGGGCAAAGTCAACCAACCGGAGGAAACCCGCAGATCAGGGTAGGAGGTATGACATTGCCCTGCGCAGACAAGAGGGGAGTGGCAGGGCTGTTTTGAGAGGTCCCAAGCCGTGTTTGGACGGGAAGGGAGTCATTAGTGGGACAACCTTTATGATCACAGAAATATTGGAAAGCATAATCCTGGGAGTAATAATACTGCCTGGGTCTCCTTCTCTGTACGCATCTCTGTCACTATTGTCTCTCTGCACAAGTGACCCCTCTGCTTGCTGCTTTATGAAGGGTCATAGCCAACAGCCTAGACAAAACCCTTCTGTAATCTCTGGCCCCCAGAACAGTGATAACGGCAGGAGCGAAAGCCTCGAAGACCACAGCTGGAGGGACACGGGAAGCACAAACTCAAGGCCACCAAGTGATGGCAGAGGAAAGGCTGCAGCAGCAGCTTGTGGGGAGGGCATGAGCCACCAGGGCCGAGAATGAGCTGAGTGGGGGTGGGGGGGCATCTTCCCACTGGGAGCTCAGGCTGGACTGCTGACCTTTCCCTCTGCCCCTCCGTGTCCCCAGGACTGCTGAGGTCCGGGCACACAGGGCCTCATCGTGACCCCTCTGACCTTGGTTCCCTTCTTCCAGCCAGCTGTCCTCACTGTCAAGTCCTTAGGTGGCCTTGTTGCTGTTGGGCTTCTGAGAATGATGTACTAACTGGGCTGGAATTTTCCGGACCCTTGAGGCACACGCACCTTTTGAAACCCTCTTCCTTTAGAGTCTTGGCTCAGTGTCTGGGCCCAGACTTCCTATGTTCTGCCCTTCCGCAGTGGTAACACAATTTCTTCCCTGCTGCCTGTGCCTCCCTCCGGTGGGTCAGAGCGAACAGAGGCACAGCTAGTTCCCTTTTGTCTCGTCCTCTAGATTAAATGAGAAAAAAATTGTCATCAGGTCAATAACTTATCAGGCCTTTGTGTCTGAAATTCTTAATTTTCATTCCTTCAGTGAGCAAGCTTGTCATCTAAATGCTGCAGCGCCTCTTTCTGTTTAGGCCCCAGGCTCAGGGAGTAGAATGTCCAGATGCTGCAGTGTGTGGGTTGCCATGGTGCTGCAAATGGCCCGTAAATGCTGAAACGCTGCGATTTCGCGGGTGCATCTCCAAGAGAGAGGGCGATGTGTAAGTGTAGATCTGGGCTCTGTGCACCTTTAGCTGCTCAGTGACATCTGGGATGCGATTTGGTAGTTTGCACCACCTTCAGATCCTAGTGTGATCACCCTCTTGATTCTATCAATTAACCGAGTTATAACCAATTGCTAAAAACAGTCAACATAACCCCTTTGAAGAAAGGATGCTGAGCCCCAATCTGCTGGATGACGTTCTTTCTGACCTAAGTCTTTCATTGCACTTCAGTTTCTGCTGCTGCTGGGAAGCCGGCCAAGAAGTCCCTCTGGATTTGGGGCTGGTGACTATAAATGTCCAAAGATGTGTTACCCCCTGCTTAGCTCGTTGTGTTCCATTCCTCATCTTCCCCAGCAGCAGCCTCTTGCTGCTACTGTCGGCCACACTCAGCACGCTGCCCCCGTGGTTGACGGACAGAGCTTACTCCTAGTCAGGGAAGATTAAAGTCAGCAAAATCTCAAAGACAAAGTGACTCTAATTATTATTTTAAATATCTAGGTGCTTTGTTAATGGGCTGGTGATGTTTGCGTGAACAAACATAAAATTTATAAATGATCCTATTTGTACCGCAATATTTATTTTTCTTTTCTGCATTGCAGCAAAGTCACTATGTTGCTATAGGCAAAATTTTCACATAATCTGTGTCCTATTGACAGTAATGCTAAATTAGACAACTTTTATTGAGTCATTGTAGTTCTTAGTTTTTTCTTATTAACTTCAAGTTGAAGAAACTTTGTTGAAGCAATAGCAGTTGGAATTGTCAGTAAAATTCTTAAAGCCATATTTAGGTTCAGAAATGAGCCATGAATTTCATATATCAGAATCAGACATTGTATGGGGTGGCACGTGACAAATTTTCTTTATTGCAAAAAATATTACAACATACTGAATTTTACCATATAAACTGCTATCACTTGTATTGCAGTTTCCCATCTCTTAAGTGATACCTAGATCTGTTGAGTAGCATAAATACCTAACACTGTGCTTTGCACACATTAGACCAAATCCTACTTATGGGCACATTTTAGAATTATGTGAATTGTGTAATATTACAGCATTCCTTGGCCACCATACACAACCTTTGTGAAAACCGTACTAGATTGTGAATACCTTCCAATCCTGAATTTGAACATAAAGAGAAAGAAAAAAGGCCCAGGGGGCTCCTGGGAAATGATGCTTCTCTATGCAACAATCTGTTGTACGTCTGCTATTTGGAGATTTGACAAATTTATAATCTATCTTCCTTTTACCTAAGATCTTCTCCTGGCCAAGACCCCCTGCCCTCCAAAGCAGTGTCTCCAATGTTGGTAGCAGCGCAGCCACAAATCTCCAGGGCGATCAGACACAGCCACCTTCTGTTTAAGGACAGAAGCCAGGAATTGTGGAGAAACGCTTCCCCCAAGGCCTGACAGGTGTTGGTCATGGATGTGGCTGTTACGGTTATGACTTGTGCTGTGCTGTACCGGGCACAGACCCCACATAGCCCAGACACCCAGGTGCTCTTTCATCTGCGGGCTTTGTAGTGCATTTGTCATGAATGAGGCACATGGAAGGGGCCTCTGGCACCCAGGGTGAAGGTGGTGCTGCATGAGAAAGACCGCTCTGTGCAGAGAATGCAGTGGCCTCGCCTGCTGGGTTCCAGCTCCTGTGCTCAGTCCCTCCTTCCTCGAAAGGGAACGACAGGCAAAAAGGACTGTTCCTATTCCAACCACTGCACCCTAAGACCACCAGGACTGCACTGGAGAGTCTGCTCTGACTAAGCAGAATGGAGCTCTGCTCCAGGGACGGTTTGTTCCCATTGTTACTGCTGCCTAGACTCTTGTTGCTTCCTTGAGGCTGCAGGGGCAGAGGACACCAAGGTTTATCCTTTAAACCAAGTTAAGAGCATTCAACCAATTGGACTTAAGAAAACTTCCTGTGACACTAACCATTTCTCTCGTACTAAGCAAAAGGCTGACATTGTGGTTACCCAGGATCATCCTTTCATTTCAAAATCTATGACTTCCCCTGTAGGATCTAGTGATCTAGTGAGCCTCCCTGTGCTCAGAATCCTTACTGGTAAATGGGCACTGATGGCAGGGAGCGTGGGAATTTTGTGAGCTGGCACCTCAGTTCCCTTCCTCCTTCCCCTGCGAGGAAAGGGAAATGAAAGCCAACCAAACCTGTGTGTGTGTGTGTGTGTGTGTGCGTGTGTACACACATACATGTACACTCTTTGCAGGGTGTGTTAGTTTTCCAAGGCTTCACAGCAAATAACCACACACGAAAATCACAGAAATATATTCTCTCACAGTCCTGAAGGCCGAAAGCAGGAAATCAAGGTGTCGGCAGGGCCGTGGTCCCTCCAGAGGCTCTAGGGGAGGAGCCTTCCTCGCCTCTTCCAGCCCCTGGTGATTGCTGGCAATTCATAGGTTCCTTGGCTTGTGGAGAGACGGCTTCAGCCTCTGCCTCCTCATCACCTGACCTTTTCCTTGTTTCCTCTGTGTCTCTGGGTATCCCCTCTTCCCCTTATATGGATACCAGTCATGGCTCTAGGGCCCCCTCAATGCAGTATGACCTCATCAAAGCTGATTGCATCTACAAAGGACTTATTTCCAAATAAGGTCAAATTCTAAGGTTTCAGGTGGCCATGAATTTCTTGGGGACAATATTGAATCTAGTATTCAGGGTTAGGACAGAAAGACTATTGTGAGATGCATCCTGAATTCAAAGACATTAAATGTGAAAAAATGTACATCTTAATCTCCATAAATATGGTATCTTATACACACTCTCAAGAGATTCAACAGTGTAGGTAGGTAAAAGGCATTCTCAAAAACTGCCATAATATTTTGGTGGGATAATCTTCTGATATCTTTTTTGAAATGCCCCAGTCGAAGTAGTTCAGTTTTGATGGATTGGACATACCCATATTCTTCAGAATAGTTGGGATTTCTGGAAAAGGACTTAGGAAGAATTGGCTCCTAGGAGAGATAATGGTTGTGAAAATGCTTTACAAATGGCCGAAAATGTGATATAAATAAAGATTCATGGGTACTTTACCCACTTTATGACTCAGGGATGGCTGTCCATTCCACACATAAAGGCAGGAGCAGTGAACTTTGAGACAGCAGGGCCATTTCCTGTAAAAATTCTTTTTCCCTGGATAAAAGAAAGGACAGTTCCTCCTGGCTTCATAAACACTCTTGTTTTTTAATCAGGGGATCCAGCAGCACCTTCTGGTTAATTCATTTTAGGGCCCTCTAAGTAGGTTTAATATATAGGAGGAGGGGGCCTGTTATCTGACCACAATTTCACAGACTATAGGATTTTGCCTCTTTTGTAGAAACAATGGACAGTGGGTCAATCATTTCAAAAGGAGTTAATAGAACTTTATACCTGGAATGGAACTTTCCCATGATCTCCTCTAACCCACTTACTGTGTATAAGATGCCAAGAGAGAAGTGGCTGGTAGAGAAGCTGGAGGTGGATTTGGGGCTCAGTTCCATGTTTAGCCTTCTCCATCATGCTGCCAAAGCACACTCACAACCCCTCATTTGGTCTTCACACAAACCTACAAGGTAGGGGTATGGTTATTCCTGTTTAACAGATGGTAAACTGAGGCTACCTGATGCACTGTCTAGCTCAGTATCATAAGCTGAGCCAAGGTAAATGACAAGCATTATTTCCATAAAATGATGATTTCATCCAGGCTCTAAATGTGATAATAAAATTTTGAGACATAACAACTGTCTTTATAAGTACAGTAAGTTAATAAAGAGAATGTTTGGGGGCTTATAAAAGCATGGCAGGAGTCACAGATTACAGGGAGGACAGTTACAGTGATGCTTGGGCACCAGGACCAGGAGAGCGCTGCTGGGGAGAATGCCTCTTGCTCTAATCTGGGATGCTGCAGCTCTCCTGCTTTTGCTGTCAGAGTAGCTGACGTTCGTCATCTAACCATGCTCTATCCCATTCATTTTACAGCACTTCTGCCATTGCTCTAGGTGCAGGTTCAGTCTGCTAGCAGCATAGGCCTGGGGCGGACTTACTATTACTAAAAAACTAACCAGATCCTGAGGCTTAGTCTGAATTCAGAAAAAAGAAATTTCTGGGAAACCACTGTTCATTCTTTTGCACATTCTAACCCTCTCTGCTGGTTGCTTGCTGCTTAAGATCTAATGAGTTAGAAATGACTTTTACTGAGTGAAAGTAAGGAAACAATTTGGGGGGATTATGTATAGGGTGTAAAAATTATGAAATCATGTTCCATGTGAAGATAATGTTCTCTCTTGTATCCTGGAAATTTTCTAGCACATCATCAAAAACTAGATATAGATACAGATATACTATAGTTTTGATAATCTTTTAAAATGTAAAAGGGTTGTGTATTTTTCCTTTTCTAATCTTCAACCTCAGACCCATTTATTTTCAGATTAAAACAGAATTCTAATGCTCCTTTCACAAAGCAGCAATTTGGAAAGGGGAATTCTTTTGATTAAAGGTGATAAATAGTCTAAGTCATTACTATTAGTGTAACATTTTTTTCAGTATGAAATATTACACTGAAACAAAATTTTAGAGTTAGGGGTGAATTTAACAATCAAAAGCCACTGTCATTTTAAAGATGTCACATTTGGTTATTTTTACATTTGGTGTTTTTATTTTCTGGGTGTAACTAATCAGATACATATTTTCAAATAATGATGATAAAGTGCAATATTCAAGGGTGACATTATGGAAATATGAATCAACCCCTACATGGCAAGTTTGTAAGTACCATGTAAATCTGTTATTATTTTATTTTCCATTAAGCTGATTACCTAGTAGAGGCTCTATTTGACCTCAAAATCTGCCAAGCATCGGAAGGCTATCCCTTCAGCCTGCTGTGTCCGGTAGGGTAAGGGACAATTTCCTTAGGGAATGTACTTGAAATGTTACTCTTAAGCTATGCAGACTCTCGAGTGCTCAGGAAAAAGTACTTTTGCCTTTTCATCCATCCTCCCCTGATGACTGCTGGGATCTCCTTCCCACATACCCAATAAAAGCCCATTCCAGGCTTTTTGTTTGTTTGGTTTTTACTTTCAGAGATACAGAAATATTTATGGATGAAATGCTATGCTGTCTGGGATTTACTTCAAAATAATGTGAAAAGCAGAGAAGCAGACAGGAAGAAAATTAAAACAAGATTAGCCATAAGTTGACAATTATTGAAGCTGGGTGATGGGACATGAAGCCTATCATGATGGTAATACCACAGTGACCATCCTTGTGCACACGTGGAAATTTCCCCAAACTAACCCAGAAGTGGAACTGCTGGGATTAAACACATTTTAAATTGTCCTGGGGGCTACCAAATTGCTCTCCAAAGTGTCTGCACAAATATGTATTCCCACCTGCCATGTATCTCGCTGAACCTTGAGATTCAACATTTTCATCAGAGTTTTAAACAGCATTATCTCCTTTTTGTATTCATTTGCATTATTGTAATCACTTTGGGTATCTTTTCACATTTGCTGGTTCTTTTGGTTTTTTTTCTGCGGTTTATCTGTTCATATTGCTCCAGATTATAGATGAGATCACTATGAGGTCTCTTTCCTCTTCCCTCTAAGCAGTAATGTGCAGCGGCCTGCTTGCGTTAGCTTCTAAGAGCCCACTGTTAACCAGTTAGCAAAATTCTTGAAAATCTATCAAATACAGGTAGCTCAGAATTGGCCCAGTGAGAATATTTATACCTTGGCAGTCAGCAATTGCTGTAAATCAGGGCTTGCATCTTTAGAGAGCTGGTTAAGTATTTACCAGCATACCACTGCCTCCAAGCATTTGCATCTAGACATAGCAGGTTCAGAAGTTCAACAAGGTAAACCTGAGGCATGCATGAGGAAGGGGCCCTGGACCTGCTGACTGGGACCAGAAAATTCTTGTCCCAGGAGACAGACAACTAATAAGAAAAGCCGTTAGGGGCTCTGTGCTCAGCACCTGCTCTGGATGAAGTCAGAGGTCAGCCTCTAGGACATCTAGGCGGTCCCAGAACTGCCACTGCAGCATGAAGCAGCTGAGGGTGTAGAGTTCATTCCTTGGCCCCTTTCACGTCTGAGCCAGGTATGGTCAGCTACATAATTTGCAGGGAACAGTACAAACTGAAAATGTGGGCTTCTTGTACAAAAGCAGGAAAAAAGCTTGTTTTTTGTCCACCATCTCTCTCCACCTGTCACAGTTTTCTCTCTTTGTTATCTAATGTCATGCTCTCTCGGGCATGGGGACCTTTGTAGGGCAAATGCCAAATCCCATAATCACCTAGGGTGTCACCTGGTATGGTGTCTTAGGCCCTGAGTGTGGAGCCTCCTGAGTGCAAATGTGATGCCTTCAGCAGCACACCCCGGCCACCTGGGCCTCTGCAGCTGAGCCCTCCTCTGCCACCGTGGTTACGAGCTGGTCACAGTCAAGTCTGCCAGCAGGTCGGCTGTAACATGCCTTCTTTTAGCAGGTATTTACTGAGCAAATGCCAAGCACCGGGAACCCTCCTTGGTATACAGGTAATTACTATAGAAAAATCCTACCCTCATGGAGTTTACCTTCTGTCCCAGGAGACTGGCAACTAATAACATGCATAATTGTTATAGGCATGTATATATGGTGTGTGAGGTAGTGGTAGGTGCTAACAAGAAAAATAAAAACATGGAGAAGGGATAGAAAATGTCAGCAGGGTGGCACTGTTAGAGGATGCGTGAGTTAAAATTTCAGATACTGGGGTTTGGGAAAATGACATCTGAGCAAAAACCTGAGGTGAGGGAGGCACGTTATACACGAGGCAGCACATTCAGCCCTTCACCCTGTGCTACCTTCCTTGTAAGACTACTTACCGACCTAACAGAATCATTGTGAGAATTGTACAAGATCACAGCCTTTTCAGTCAAAATTTGCCTGCATAAGTTTCAACTTCAGTTATAAGTTATTTTAAGCATGGGAAACATCGTATAAAAAATAGTCTGGTTAGAATATGCATCACTGCCCCTTTTTATGGTAATGTTTATGAATTCAGTGCTCTTTGAAACAGATACTTCATTTATTGTCATAATTTTAGAGACTGGGGAAAGTTGTCTTTGGCATCTTCTGAGGATTAACATGTTCTGCAATGATCTCTTTTCCCCCTCATTCTTTTAGTTGCTCAATAGGATTTCTTCCCATGAAAGCAGAGTGTTAAATAATTAAAATATAAACCTGCAGGAAGAGGAAAAAGAACAATTCCTCCATATCAGGAAGTGGAATATTATTCTATCACACTGTTTGAAAAAGAAAATCCCTTCAAACAGTGGCTTAAGTAGAACAGATACATTTTTCTTTTGTATAAGACACCTGGGGGAAGGCAGTTCAAGCATGGACTATATTTCTGCTCTACTATTCTCAAAGTCACCTCATGGTTCAGGATGGTCACAGGAGCTCCAGCAATCACATCCATATTCCAGGAAGGAAGATAGGGTGAGATGAGTGGCCTGTTCCCTCCTTTTTAAGGAAAGTTTCCATAAAATTCAACACACACACACATATACACACCATAAATACATTATGGTCCAGAACTTTGTCATATGGTCACACCTACCTGTAATGGAGACTTGGAAATGCAGTAAAGGCATTTAGCTGAGCAACAATTTTGTTAGAAACTGATGTTCTATTTCTTGGGAGAGAAAGGAGAATGAATGGTAGGGAGAGTTTCTAACAGTTTCTGCCACAAACGCTAAGTTCATTTTCTTTTTAAGTTTATGAGGGCTATAAATCTCAGGAAAATAAGTCAGTACCTAACTCCTAGGGCCTTGAGATACTACATTTTAAAATGGTCTAATTCTAGCTTTTTAAAAATCAGATGAAAAACTCCAATGGGAAATTAATTTCCATTCTGTCATCTTTATTATTTTTGCATATGTTACTTGAGTAGTCTACCGTTTCACCATATTTGGAATTGTACAGGTAAACAGTCCAGTAAAAAAGGATTTCACTGTAGTTGTAGAGAACTTAGTGTTTCATAGGACAACATCAGTTTTTAAAATATGCATTTGAGACAGGAAAGAATAATAATGGTTTGGTTGCAATGGACATCTTTTTTTTTCCATTGAAAATAAGGTCCAACAAGAAAAGCTGCTCTTTCTTGCTGACCCATGCCACAGTACCTGAGATGATACTGAGTATCTGCTCAGGGACTTTTTTTTTTATACAGTATGAGTTGCTTTCTGATGGAAAGCTAATGTATTTTTGTTGGGAAAAAAAGTCTATTTCCTTAGCTCTTGAGCAAGAATATGTCTTCCTCTTGAAGATTTATTTTCTTTCTTTTTAATGGTGACAGATGTTGTCTGCCAGCATAGAAACAAACACACAAATGTCATGCTTCAGTTACAGTGACTGTGGGCAACTATGTTGTCACTTGTCCTTTATGCATGGTGACCTGATGATTAAACTACTAATATTTATTTGGAGGAATTCCCTTTGATTAGAGAATATTATGTTAACACAAAGCTACATGTCAGTGGTGAATCTGTTTTATTAAAATACATTTATCTCTGAGTTAGAGCTGGCTTCTCAACATAATTCTTTCCTACTTAATAATATAAAAGACTCTGTCTCTAATCTTGATTTCAGTGATGGAAATCCTGCAGACAGACTCAAAATTATACTGTAAGACAAAATCAGAAAAGAAAATATCCCTAAGGTGTGGAAATGTAGTTTCATTATTTAACATACGAGGATGACTGGCATTGAATTCAGTCTAGGCTCCAGCAAATCTTACCTTTTTTGACACATCATTTCATTCCAAAAAGATGCTGCTAGAGAGAGAACCTGTCAGTTTATGGACTTAAACCTTTGTCCTATTGCTTTAGGAAGCCATTTCTTGATGAGCCTCCAGTATTTCACTGGTGAGTTTCTGTGCCACCTGTGCCATCCATCGTTTCTGAATTTTAGCTATAGAATGGATTAGTATAATTCTTCTGTATGTTCAGTATAACCATGCTGTAACACAAAAAGGAAAATTGAGATGTTCTCTAAATACGTTGTCTCTGGGTGGAATAGTCTTTATTTAGGCAACGGGATTCGAACTGGCAATAACTGTTGCCTCCAGGAATGCTCTGCTTTTATGTCTGCTCTGCTGTAGTTTCTGTCAGCTGGAGAGCCTGCAGCTGTCCCTCCAGACTCACTCTCCCTTGACCGACAAGGACTGCATCAGTGGCTCCCTAGCCTCCCTATGGTCACCTGGTCCTGTCTGGATTGGCCAATGGGAGGCCCTGGCAGAACCTGGGGAAAGGGGAGAGGGGTCAGGATATATACTCTGGCTGTTCCCTGCTGGGCCAGGTTGATAGCGGCCATGTCTTTCTAGGAAGGCCACGGCACCTGCCCAGTGGCCCTCCTGCCAACCGCTCTCTCTCGGATCTGGTAAGGGCTCCTCATTATTGTCAGCTCAAGGCTGTCTCACTATCCTTGCTGGTTTTCTTCAACCCTCCCCCCACCTTTGTAAAGAATTTCAATTTTCCATTGGAGTGTGCTGTCTATTTCTGCCTGGGACACTGATGAGCAACCTTTAAGAATGGGGGATAGTGGTTATTTTGCCTATGACTTGTTTCTAGGAAGTGTTTTCAACAGGAATAGGACGGAAGCAAAGCCCTGGATAATTTAAGTTTCCCCTGCTGTTTGTTTTTCCACTCCTGGAGTTGTAAATTGTTGATGTTCTCACAAGAATGTTAAAGAGAAAATGTAGTTCTTCAAGGTACCTGTACAAGTCAACCAATTCTCTGGTGGGCTGCTGACATCTTGCTAGAGCTCCCAGCCTAGGGTTAAGTGGTGGGCTCACCGCCATAGTGCAGGGTCAGAGGAATCTAATAAGGAGTGGGCCCTAATTTTGTCAGCATCTTTCCCAGGCCCACCTACTGTTCGGGGAGCATGGACTCCATCCAGCTACCCTCCCTGCTTGCTTCCTTACACATTACAGTCCCACATGCTGACCCTAACGTTTGAAGAGAACTCAGGCATGGCTCCTGAAACCTAGTGCCCTAACTGATGCTAATCACCTGTCCTAAAAGATTGGCTGAGAAATTCATTCAGCTTAAGCACATTCTTTTTTCAAGTTCATCATTGATTGAGTTTGGCTTCAAGTTGGGTACTTAACTCTCTTTCTCATTCTCCCCACAGTTGCAGCGACTCTTATTTCACAAATGTGAGGAGGCCCATAAACTGTGGTCTGGTAAATTCTATTTGCAAGGACTGCTTCTTGAAAACACTAATCTTAAAATGAGAGAAGGCACTAATATTCACTTTTAATCCACACATCTTTTAGAAAAACCTCTATAAGCTATCTGTCTTCTTGACCCAGCTAGGGCCTGTTTTTTTTTTTTTTTTGACTTGCTCATTAAATTATTCTTTCATTTATTCACAATTATTTTACTATAATTTTGAATCAAGGGTGTACTCAAAGTTGGTTTCCATGGTCTCCCTTACTTTTTTGTGTGAAATTTTTTTTTTTTGAGAGGGCATCTCTCATATTTGTTGATCAAATGGTTGTTAACAACAATAAAATTCTGTATAGGGGACTCAATGCACAATCATTAATCAACCCCAAGCCTAATTCTCAACAGTCTCCAATCTTCTGAAGCATAACGAACAAGTTCTTACATGGTGAATGAATTCTTACATAGTGAATAAATTCTTACATGGTGAACAGTGCAGGGCAGTCATCACAGAAACTTTCGGTTTTGATCACGCGTCATGAACTATAAACAATCAAGTCAGACATGATTATTCGTTTGATTTTTATACTTGATTTATATGTGAATCCCACATTTCTCCCTTATTATTATT